GCCACTACTGGTTATACATGTTCTGTGGCCGTGGCTGGCCGCTGGGCGCCGGCTATTACCAGAAGAAGAAGAAGAAACTGAATGCCGAGGACAAAGACGCTTGAGAGTTGGCACGTGGTTTTCTCATTCCTATTTGATATTCTTGAAATATTTTTCAGTTAAAGTGGTGTATTATTGGTGTATTATCCCGTTATTCGTATAGCTCGACTGACGTGATAACATAAGACACGAGTTCAGCTTCAGGTTAAAGTGAAACAGGTAATTAACTGTCGGTTGCGCGGAAATTCAGTTGTGCTTTTTCTTTTGGATGACGACCGATCTTGGAGTCTATCGGATTTGGTGTGTACACGTGATAAAGACTGCTCTGTCTTACTTAAAACCCAAAAGCGATTTTCGACCAATTTCAACATAAATTACAGATTATTCAATTGACGATAAATTCAAAACCGACAAAATTATTCACAAAAATTCCCGGCTGTAATTCGACACCCTCGATCTAATTATTTCATGTGCGAAATAAAAGAATAACTATCCAAAATAATAAGTATTACTCGATAATTTAACTATAGATTGTTGCTGGAGCATACCGAGGGTGAGGATTCAAGAGACAGTGATCGCAAGTAGAAAAGAATATGGAGACAAAATCGGATTCACGATGGATTATGAAAGAGCACGAAACTGTAAGTTTGGTAAAGCAATCACTAACAAGGAGATGGCAAAGACTTGCAAAATCGATTTCGAAATGGGACACAGTCCATTCGAAGGAGGGTACTGAGTTTCCGAAAAGTGTCGAAGGTTTGAATAAACAGGCCTTCGTTTTTGAGAAATTTGCAGTTTAAGTTGAGCATGCGGCCACGTGTGCTGTAACTATCGGAACTTAACCTCCACGAGCAGTGAGCGTGGTGGAGGTGAAAGCTAAAGCGCACTCTTGTATTTCGCTTGTGGTATTCGGGTTAGAATCTCGCTCGGTCATTTCTTCCTTTTTTTTTTAACAAAAGCTGTTTTATAATTTAATTTGGTTTTTATTGCCTGCAATGTTATATTATGAAATGCGCACAATACTTTTTACATATAAAATAAAAAATTAGACTTCTTTATTATTCACTTATCTTTCGTTACAAAAATTATTTATTAGAAAATTTAGACATTGCTGTACAATTTTGTGAGTCAAAATTAATGTAAAAGCATGTAAAAAAATAAATAATTCACACGCTATAAACATTTTATAAATACACTTCTTACTATGAATATATAATACTATGAAATTTGATTGATTAACAATGCTAATCAATTGTGATTTCCTCCAAGTATTCGTAATATGAAATGTATTTGTAAAACTAATTATTCTTTTATAAAATGTTTCTGGTGTGTGAATTATGTGTGTTTTACATTGCGTTTACATTAATTTTGACTCACAAAATTGTACAGCAATGTCTAAATTTTCTAATAAATAATTTTTGTAACGAAAGATAAGTGAATAATAAAGAAGTCTAATTTTTTATTTTATATGTAAAAAGTATTGTGCACATTTCATAATATAACATTGCAGGCAATAAAAAACCAAATGAAATTATAAAACAGCTTTTGTTAAAAAATAAGTAATGACCGAACGAGATTCGAACTCGAACACCGCAAACGAAATACAAGCGCGCGCTTTAGCCTGCGCCCCCGCCACGCTCACTGCTTGCGGAGATTAAGTTCCGGTAGTTGAACTTTAACTGCAAATTTCTGAAAAATAAAGGCACATTCACTGTAACCCTTGAACACTTTTCATAAACTCAGTACCCTCCTTCGAATAGACTATGTCTCGTTTCGAAATCGATTTCGCAAGTCTTGCCATCTCCTTGTAAGGGCATTTTACTTTATGGCCTTGTACACATAATGTATATATGTATATATAACATAAATTTGTTTTAACAGTTTGAGGAATATGCGAAGGACACGTTGGACAAATCAATGCCGCTGGAGAAATTTATAAAGGTAATATGTTGTGAAGAAAACAGTCGCGTTTAAATAAAACTATTTTTCTTACTGTAGAACTTGAAGATAAACATAATTCAGGAACACGAGAGAGAAATTGAATTTGACATGATTGGCTGCCATACTTCGGTAACTAACGCGTTTAGGAGGATACTTCTGAGCGAGATACCAAGTATGGCTATCGAAAAAGTATATATTATTAATAACACCAGCCTGCTCCAAGACGAAGTACTTGCGCACAGGTGAGAGAAAGAAATAATAGTTTTTTCTTTTTCACTTTTTATATCTATGGATATTTTTTTCTAGTATATTGTAGCAAATTAACGTGATTGAATTAACCGTTTTTCAGACTAGGTCTTGTACCTCTTGGCGCAGATCCTAGGTTGTTCGAATATCCTCCGAACAACGGAAGAGCTGACGATGAGGTCAGCGATCAAGACACTTTAAGATACGAGTTAAAAGTCACGTGTAGTACAAATCCGCAAGCGCCAAAGAACTCTCGTCTTCCAGACGATATGTACAGGAATAGCAAAGGTACTTGACTAGACTTATTTCCTTTTCTGCTTGTTATTGATATTGAATTTCCGATAATAAATTAGGATACAATGGTTTCATAACTTTTAATTACATGATCTCTTGTGATTGAAAACCGTGACATATGAGATGAAATCTGAAACCTACCAGCTACGAATCGATCATTCTCATACAGAATCACGCGTCATCTCAATTATAATTGAAGACTTTTCTTAAATTGTATATGAAACGACATGACTGGAAACTGAATCCAACTCTCTGACTAGCGACTATTTGATCATTAAACCAACAAATAATCCTAAATAGGGGTTTTTACAGATTTATATTATACTAGTCTCTAAATGTAATATTAAGTAATTACGTAAAGTATTATGAAGCATTCTTTTTACAGTTTTAAGCAAGGATATTAAATGGGTGCCAATAGGTCGACAAACCGACATGTTTCCTCGTGGAGCAGAACAATTTGGCGTTCTAGAAAAGGACATATTAATATGTAAGATGCGTCCTGGTCATGAGATCCATGTGTTTATGCACGCAGTCAAAGGCATCGGCAGAGATCACGCAAAATTTTCTCCTGTCGGTACGTAAGGGTTCTGTGAATGAAACGTTATTTACAACTCATATTCGCTACCATTCATTTGACAAATATCATGTCTTCTTGTTAGATTTTTGAATTGTTAAAAAAAATTGTTTAGCCACTGCATCGTATCGTCTCTTGCCGGCGATTCAACTGACCAAGCCTGTGAGAGGTGAAGACGCGGATCTTCTACAGAGTTGTTTCAGCCCTGGCGTGATAGAAGTGGTAGAACAAGAAACGAACTCTGGTCAAAAGTACCGTGAGGCGCGCGTCAAAAACGCTCGCTATGATAGCTGTACCAGAAACTTCTATCGTCACGATCAGCTAAAGAATTGCGTAGAACTGAGTCGGATAAAGAATCATTTCATTTGTAAGTATTGTAACAAATAATTCAGAAATTATCCAACAATCAATTAAAGCATAAGTCATAATCGTTAACTTGTATATGTTAACGATTAACTAAATAAAGAGTTGAAGATACATTGCTTATGGCAGCTGGAAAATTTGTATACATAGAATATAAATTTGTCTTAATTTTTAGTCACCATAGAATCTGTGGGAACATTACCAGCGGCCGTGCTATTCACAGAAGCCGTTAAAGTACTTAAGAATAAGTGCAGATCGTTTCTTGCAGAACTGGAAAACGTAGGATAATTAATTGAAGCAAAATGAGATCTGGGTAGAAGGAAAATTATTACAAAAAAAAGTGGTCATCAAAAATGTATCACCGGGCTCTGTGTACAATACATCTTGTCAACAACACAGTCGATATTTTTATTATTTATTAATAAAGTTATTTTATTGGATTTGAAATGCTTATTAATTAATAAAATAACCCAATCGTCATTGAAATTAATTATACATAAAGACAGCTCGTGTCTTTTATTATTACAACTATATGTATATTTTTAATTATATTTATAACATACATAAACTATTTAAAAAATCCTATAATTAAACTCTTAATTATGATTCAACAGTAAACTGAAAATTCACTCAAGCTGTATTTGTTAAAGCAGTGCCCAACAATCGTGATTAATATTCATCAGTTTTGTTACATTTTGCTCAAATATGTTTTAGGTGTAAGGTGTCAGCGAGAGCTGTGGACCGTCTCTCTTGAAACAATATATTTGTACTAAGAAAATAGACTACAAACTAGATCAAGGAATTAAAGATGTAAGGCCAACGGTATTGCGAGCGATACATAACTTAATAAAACGTTAAAAGTCAGCTGTAACAAAGTTTACAAATTTACTGTCCGTTAGTTATTTTTACGAAAACATAGATTTAAGAAATTGCGTTTTCATACCGTCATCATAATAAGTTAGATTAGAAAAATATTGTAATTTGTAAACTTTGTTACAGCTGATTTTTAACGTTTTATTAAATTATTTATCGCTCGTAATACCATTGGACTTACATTTTTAATTCCTTGATATATTTATATCTTGTGTTTTCACTAGATTTCTGTAACATCCAAGCAATAAAAATCAAAACAATCATCATCTCTTGCATCATGTAAGATCAGTGTGATGAGATACGCAAACGTATTAAAGATAACGTTCGCAAGGACATGCTATGAGCTCTTATATTTGTAATCACGATGATATCTCTCGAAGAAAACCAATTTAAAAAGTAAGTATGGGAACGTTTACCCTTCTGACGATGAGTTGAAAATTTAAACGAATAAGTACAGCACAGATGGTTGCAGTTACATTGCAGAAACGTTATAATCTTGCAGAGACATTGCAGGGATATAAAATTGCAAACTTTCGATAGCAATTATATTGCAGCAATTGCAATGTTTCAAAAATAATAAAAATACTATACTTTCTATTTAAAAAATTTTTCTAATTACGAGAATTTTATGTTATTTTCGTTGATACTAATAATGCGCGAATTATTAAGTACTTGATCAGTGCGGTGTTGCTCGCAATCTCCATCTATCGCGAAGCGACATAATCTCCTTAGGTTGCTTCGCAATAGCTTGCTGTGTATTGAAAAAAGCCCGGGTGCATATGTAATTAGTAAATTCTCTGCTTATGTACAACAAATTATTCCAAAAATATTGCACTGCAATCTCTCTGAGGGCGGACATTTCAACGTTGCAGCAATGTTGCGCAACGTTGCTGCAATATTGCAATGTAATATTTCTGCAATCTTTCTGTGCTGTGTGGGTTCGAATGTGATTTAAGCCCGCTGCAGACGATGCTATTTTTTCTACTGGATTGCTTGCAATCTAATAAATTACTATCATTGCACCATTCAGCACTCAGGCTTCCTAGTAATTTAGTAAATCGCAAGCAATCCAGCATCGTCTGCAGCGGGCTTTAATCGATACAAATCCTTGGCGCGATTCGTGGGTTTACATAGGGCTTGTTTTCTGTTCCTGCACTGGTGAACTAGTGCAGTAAGCTAGAATGAGAAAAAATATACTTGTCTTACTCCAATTTATTGCACTAGTTCACCAGTGCAGGAACAGAAAACAAGCCCATAATAATCGCAGTTTTTATCTTGGTATTGATGGCTCTTATCTATATTACTATTTTCGAAGATCGAAGAGTTTGTGAAAGAAAAATTGAGATTCTCGATCAATCGAAACGGGATCAAGGGACTATACGTTCAAAGTTGTTCGATTGGTCGAAATCCACTCTCTCTCTCTCTCTCTTTCGCAATGCGCGCTCCGATAGTCGGCTTTACGTTCTATACGCGAGCTCACATGACTCGCATCACCGCGTGGCGCGTGTGATGACTGCGATAATGCTGCGAGAAGGAACGAGAAGACCGAGAGCGTAAGACAGAGAGAAAAAACATCCGATTTGACACGCGGCGGCCGTGAATCCCGACAATCCCGTTCGATCTCGTCCAACGCCGCGCGACGTCAGCAACGCGTGTCGACGGGACACTCGGGGATCGATCGCGTCGTCGCTATGTCGGCCGTCGCCGCCGGCGCGTTTGACACTAGAGATCGTTGCGTCAGTCCGCGCTAACGAGGCCGTCGCCGCGGCGCCGCGACGAGAGTCGCGCGCGCGCCTCTTGCCCGCGACAACAGCCAGGACGATGGGGTTAGGCTTCCGATGGCGCCTCGTGTTCCTCCTGCTCCTCGGCCTGCTGCTCTGGCAGACCTCCAAGATCTGGCTCGCGTTCCTGCAGGACGGCGCCGTCACGCCAGGTACGAAGCAGGAGGCGCGCGCTCTTTCTACCGCAGTCTCGCCCTGTCGCCGCCGCGCCGCCAGCGGCGGCCAGGCGGTCCCCGTCTTGTCGCGCGCGCCCGTTTCGCGTGTTTCACGGAATCGATTTTTTTTTTGCCGCCGGTGATACCTCGCCACGCGATTACCGTTCGATCCCCCGAGGGGCCGAATATCGATCGCGACCGACGCTCCCGAAAACCGTATCTTGCGGAAAATCGACGGCATCGCGGCTGCTTTCTTTCTTTCTTTCTTTTTTTTCAAAGTAATGGCCACAGGTTGATATTTCTGCTCGATTGCTCGTTGCGCAATTGCTGTGTGCCGAGCGCGTTATCTGACACTTTTCGAATGGCTCGATCTTTCCGTTCGACGTATGAAACGAACTTGTGTCGAGCTTCGAAGCGTAATTCGCTATGAGAGGTCGTCTCGCGACTGGTGCTCCAGCGACCTCGCAGATTGCGAATTACGATGATTATTATTCATTACACGCGAGAATCGCATGGAGGAAAGATCGACGTAACGGATTACGCTTTAGGGAAAAAAAATCAGGCTAAATGTACCGCGATAACGACACCACTCGCGTAAATCGACGAAAAAAGAAATAAACTGCCATTCGTCAGTGTCCTCCCCGCGAGATAAGCAGTTATTCACGGATTTGCGGTTTTCTCTCTCTCTCTCTCTCTCTCTCTCTCTTGCGTGGCAAATAATCACGGATGATCGCGCGATAACGATCGAATTCGCAATGTCGAGTGTTTTTGTTTGAGTAACGATAAAAATGAAAGACGAGAT